CAAACACGAGTCTAACCTTTATGCCTCTCACATAAAAACAACACATGCTATATAGTCAAAACTGTGAACATATGATCGTGACGAGTGTACCAACACAATAACAAAAAAATTTTGAAATTAGAGTGTACAGAGCGCGCGAAATTCAAAAAGTCACCTTACTTTTTGATCACACCTCGTATATTGATATCAACGTTATTAAATAATAATATTATTTATTTACTGCCTCGGATTAATTCAAGTAAGGATCAAATTCATATAAAATTATGTTTGATTTTCAAAATAAAATAATTATTATGATTCGAGGAGTAATTTGTCACTTCGTAAAATTTGTGTTTACAGTGATGAAAAAGTTTTAGTTTAATGTACAAACACTACAGATATATACACTACAGATAATGTTTACAAACACTACAGATAATGTTTACAAACTAAAAACTGATGACTCCGGCTAGGTACGAACTGTATGAGTTAATCCAGTATAGTAATGGACTTGCCAGGATTTCTCGGCAAGTCCATCACTATACTAGATTAACTCATACAATTCGTACCTAGCCGGAGTCACCAGTTTTTAATTTGTGCTTACTGCTTCCGCCTTATCGCTCGAAAAACCGCGAACGCTCGGAATTAAGAAGTTTGTCGGATTGTATTTGATCATAGGCATTGTTTTTTTTCCTAAATCTGATCAGTAGCGTGAGTAATCTTAAAGTTTAATAAACCTTCGTTTACTTTATTATTATTATATTGGTTGGTTATTATTTATATCGACGGTTAAGTGAAATTATCTGAATCAGCAGAACGTAATGATGGGTCGACCAAAAGTGAATGCTGTCCACGGCTATTTTGTTTATGACAGAATCGCGAGAACGTCCAAATGCTCAATTTGTAAAGTAAACGTGAAGGTATGGGTACATAACGAATTATCATACATCGTACATCTCTGAATAACTATCCTGATAGCAAAATGTTAACAATTTGACAAGGTCAAATTGACAAAAAACTTGATCAGATTTTGACTACAAAACTATAGACAGGTTCTGATTCTCTTATAGGCATAGCATGTCTAGCAATTTTTGTCATATTTCTGATAATATCGGATAATACAAACTCTGTGCACAATTTGTTGCCTTTCTGCAATCAAAAATTGATGGCAGTCTCAGCTCAAAATCTATCTCCACAAGCATCGTTATCAGATATTAACAAATATGATTTGTACAGGGCAATCATGCCCTGTACAAACCTGCTATCCCACCTCTCGAAAAATCACGGAAATACATATACTACCGTTGTAATGAAAAATGAGCAATACAAGCGTGAGTCTTCCCAAGATACATCCTCCTCTTTTGATGATCCATCAGATGAAAGCCCCAGAAAACACGCACGTGAAGAGTGATTCGTACATGAATGTGTGAATCTTGTCACTGTGCATGGACGACCTTTTGCTCTGATGGATGATATAGCATTCAAGAACATTATTAAGATGATACCTCCAGGTTCTGGCACAAACAAAATTATTACCGTCAATGCTGCAAAAATAAAAAAAAGCTGTCACTGAACTTGCACGATCCATTCGTGATATAATTGCCAAAGTAGTTGAAGGTAAATTAGTAAGCTTAAAAGTTGATTGCGCTACATGCATGGATCGCTCCTTTTTAGGTGTAAACTTACAGTACATATACAATAAGAAAATAGTGTTAAAAACTCTTGCCGTTATGGAAATGACAGAACGTCATACAGCGGAAGCTCTTAAATTAGAAATATTGAGCATACTGAATATGTATGGTATATCTATCCATCAACTTTACACCATAACGACAGATAACGCGTCCAATATGCAAAAAATGATCAAATTGTTGGGTAGCCAGCAGCTCGTAGATATTATTCAAGAGGAGGATGACACAGAACATTCTGATGAAGACGATGCGGATGCACACATGGTAATATGGAATGAATCAGATGATTTTTCTGATATAGTTATGTCAGAACCGTATGAATTTTCCGCTGATGCGGAAGGTTCTTCTGACACAGAAATAAATGTAAGAAACTACACTGGTCATCCCGTAGCAATAAGTTCTCCTGAGTACAATGTACGGTCAATAAGCTGTGCGGCGCCCACTTTACAGTTGGCCATAGGTGATACTTTCAAAAGTTGTGCTCTGGGAGAAACAATTGAGAATGCACGTTAATTAGTGAAAAAATTACGAACGCCGACATTAAAGGGGATACTAAAAGCAATGAAATGGCGTAAACCAATAATTGATTGCGTGACTCGATGGAACTCAACAGTTGATATGTTGGAGCGGTTACTGAAGTTCCGTGATATCTGCGAGACCAATGAAGAGCTTCATATGTCACAAGAAGCATGGACAGAGATTAAAAGTATTGTCCAAACTCTTACGACTTGCAGAATAGCCACTAAAAATCTACAACGTGAACAGTTGACTTTCGGGGATTTATACAAAGAATGGACATGTTGTATCCTCCGCACACAAAAGTTTGGCACAACATTATCTGAAGCCTTAGTGCGAGCAATGAAAGCCCGAGAAAAGCAACTTTTTCAATCAGAACCATTTCTCGCAGGAATGTTCATGGATACCCGTTTTAGTGTATTATTATCCGCGCAGGAAACGACGCAAGCTATGATTTATATTCGAAAGATATGACTTCATATGTAGAAAGTGAGAAAAAACACAAGCGCCGATACAATATCTGATACAGCAGTTTCCGGTAATGAGGAATCGGATGCAGATGAAATGGAGACATTGCTCCGAAACGCGGAAAAGAAAAAAAGACGCCGTCGGAACAAATGCACAACTGTTATTGAAAACATTATCAATGCCCTTGAGACCCATGCAAAACATACAAGGCTAAAGACCAAAGAAAGCATTTTAGAGTTTTGTGAAAACAAAAAATTAGTGATGCCAGAACTGTATGAGCTCTCAAAGATTATTTTAGCCGCTCCGTCTACACAGGTCAGCGTAGAACGTCTATTCTCCGCTTTAAAATTCATTATATCCCCGCTAAGATCTAATCATTCAAAAGAATTAGTCGATGACATTCTCGAAGTCCATTGCAACCATTTCTAAAATTTTGCCACTATACAATTAAGATATCTAGGACAGAGGATATTAATATTCTATATTATAAACTACTTTCCAATTATAAATTATAAACTATTACTTGAATTACTTCTATGTTATATGTTATGATTATTATTCTATGATATATATATTCCTTGTTACATTCTATTCTTATAAACATTTTAATAAAATTAATTTCGCTAAAAAATTGACTCATGCGTGACTGCTTCCAAAAACTTGGCATTATAACGATATGGGTATTAATATCGGTATTATAACGATATTATAACGGTATTTGTAACAATATATGAGTACCCAGGTAAGGTTTGCCGACTCTCACCCGATGTTGAACGTTGGGCCGACGTTGGCG